GCCTATAATATATTATTAAACGATTTAGGTTTTGTAGTTTTGTACTTACTAATTCTAAAACAAATGAACGTATATACATTAAATTTTCACTGGTTGTTTATATTTGCATTTTCTATACACGATAACATTTTCAAAATATTTTGATTTATTTTGAACTGTTTAGGGACATTTTCATTTTCCATTTTTTTTTAGTTTTTTTCTAAAAATATCAATATTATTTTATTTGTTGGTTGCGAAAGCTTGAAAATTAAATAAAAGGCTCCTAGTATATTATTTTAAAGGCAGATGAAAAATATTAAAAATCCTTAGTCACAATTTTTTTTATAATCATTTAAAGTTCAAATATTGACAAACTACGTCAAAATGACGAAAATTTGAAAATTATTTAGAGTTAGAAATTCATAAATAATTTACTTTTTAAATTTTAAATTTTAAAATATATACAAGATTCCTCATAAGTTTGTCTACCTTCATCAAAAAAAAAAAAAATGTCTACAAGAAACTCAAATTAAATTTTTATGAGCATTTGAAATTCATGTTTTTACATTTGATATTCACTCGATTTCTCATGTAACGATTTTCTTATTTTGTTGTAATTAAAAAACGAATGACTGTAGATACTTGAAAATGTCACTGCGAATGTTTATACTAGCATTCCCTATACACCATACAATTTTGAAAATATTTTGACTCTTTTTGAGCTGTTTACGGACATTAACAGCTTTCAATTTTTTTTAGTTTTTTTTAGAAAAATATTTAAAATACATAGGCACAATTTTTTTTGAAGTTATACTTCTTTACGCACGGTAGTGAGGAAAAAAAAAGCGAACGGGCGGCGTGTACGAACGGGCGGCGCGTACGAACGGGCGGCCGTACGAACGCGAAAGCGTACATGTCCGTAAATAAATAAATATTGTCATGGTAATGTTGTTTTATTATATATTATAATATATATATATCTGTATATATAAAACAGTAAGCTGATTGACTGCTATCAACGCACAGCTCAAACCATTGGACGGATCTGGCTGAAATTTGGCATACAGATAGCTATTATGATGTAGACGTGCGCCGCTAAGAAAGGATTTTTCGAAATTCGCATTTTAAATAGGTGCTCAAACAGGGACATTGAGATTCAAGATAGAAATTGGAAATTTTATTTTTATTTATTAATAGTTACCATTGGTTACAGTCTACATTAGAAATTAGCATTTATTTATTGGTTGCCATTGGTTATTCGGGCAGATCAGGTACAAGCTTGCATCAAATCAAATTATTGAACATTGCCTACCAAAGTGGCTGAGTTGCACTGACCCCAGCCAGTTACACCCAAAAGGAGTTCAACAATCATAATTTTTTTAAGAGTTGTGATTTTTTACGAGCAACCAAATTTGTTATATGAATAATTAATGATCAATTATTATTTATTTTTATTATTATTATTAGTATTCACTCACAAATCTATTGTCTGGATAAAAACAATACTACAAACAATTACCCATCGATCTGTCGAATAAAAATATAAAAATAATAATAAAACTATCAATAATAAATAATTCCGGATACTTCTTCTCATTTTTTAAATTAATTAATATTTTTTTCTTTCTTTTTCACTCACTCACGTGTACCATTCAAAAGAAGTTTAACTTCCCGCGCGCGTACTGGTAACACACATGGTTTTTTTTTTAAGCATTTAAAGATCGAATTTCGGCAAAATGTATCAAATTTAAAATTGAATAATTAATTTTTGGTTTAGAATTTATAAAATGTTTAACTTTTATGTCTAAGGATTGAACATTTAAAACAAGATTCCACGTACCAAAAAATCTAAAAAATACAGAATTACAGTTTGTTTGTATAATCATTTTAAGTTCAAATTTGGATAAAATTACATAAAAAAACCTAGAATAACTATTTTAGTTATTTTGTTGTGAGTGTATAATATTATTCGTGGATACTTGAAACTTCTAAAGTACACTTTCATATATCTATGATAGTATTACGGTTTGTTGTTGATGTATAACGCGTTATATGTACCTAATGGATATTGTGATATGATTAATTAGGAATTTTGTTATAGGTTTATAAATAGTAATAAATAGTTAATAAATAGTATTATATTTTAATAATAATAATTTTTTTTAATACCATAGATAAGTATATAATATGTCTTATACCTAGACTAAATGATTAATTTGGAATTAATTATATTTACCTATTGTCAATTTAATACCATCCATTATACAGTGACCCACTCGTAACCTACTGTACAGCAGAGCACCTTTTTAAATTTCCTTTTATATTTTTTTTTAGTTGGTATTTTTTTTTTATTTTCTGTAGTGACAATCACATTTTTTCCCATAGTATTTTTGATAGTAAAATGCTTACTAGTATGTGTCTATAATTATTTTACAAATTTGGGACGTAATACATTTTTATATTACACTAGGTATTGACGAAAATAATATTTGAGGATACTTAAATTATAATTATAAATAATAATAATCATAATGTTTTTATTTCTTGCAAAAAAAATTTTGATAACCTTTATCAAAAAAAAAAATGTCTAAGAAAGTCAAATTAAATTTTTATGAGCGTTTGAAATTCAAATTTTACAACATTGATAAGAATGCCAATCGGTTTTAATTTTAGATTTTAGAAATAAAACTATACGGGATTACGATACTCTTTATTATTATTGTTGTGATCATATTATGTGTTTACAAGACACTTAGACACACTCCCACAAACAAACATTGATACCTATATATTACAATGTGTAAGTCCCCGCATACTTCTTAATAGGGATGGGTTTTTGACCGGTCAAATTCTTTTAATGACAATTGACCAGATTTTGACTCGTCAAAATTGTCAAAATCGGTCAAAATCTTTTTTTTTCCTGTCCTTAATTCAAATGTTGTATTTAAATGGAAAAAGTTTATTAAAAGTTAAGACCATCAAATAGTAACAAAAAACATTTTTACACCTATTTAATAATGAATATATACAATTTTGTTAACAAATAAATGAAATAATAAATATCAGTCTTTACCTTTTAGTTTTTATTAATGATGCATTATAAACTTAAAATAAAATAACAACTTAGTTGAAGAAAAATAAGTTACGTTTTTCAATAGTAATTAGTAACAATAAACAAATTAAAATAACAACCATATTTTAAAAATCACATAAATAATTAATATAGTAGTAAGTTAATAAACAAAAAATAAAATATTGACATCTTTGAAAAAATAAACATAAATTTCAACTTTCAATAGGAATTACTAATTAATAATTGAATGGATATTTCCCCAAACAGACCAATTACGTTCATCTCACGCTGTAGAGCTTGGTAATGTTAGCAGTACTTCAGCAACATCAGCTAGTACACTTTTGTTTTTAAAATTACCTTTCCACCAATTTGCTGCTGTAATAAAGTTATTTTTTATAGAGTTAATTGCTGTCCATGATGAACGACTTTGAAAAGGACCACTTCTAGCTTTGAAATTAATAATGTCTGATATAATACTACTTTCTTGTTCACTATTAAGCTCCATGTCTACATTATTTAAATGTTTCCAGATCAACTTAATTAAATCAATAGCATTGTCTTCTTCTTCAGATTTTAAATTTTCTCCTAGGTGTCTTGGATCAAGTAAATAGCATGCATGATGTGTAGGTGTAATTACCTTATTTATACGGTGCTCAATTAATTCGACTATGGATTTTTCATTTTGACTTAGACTTAAAGAAGATGAATTATTTTCCTCAACACGTTTTTTTACTTTCATAAACTCATTATAAACTTCTGATAATTCACAAGAATCAGACTCCATTTTGGTAATTGAATTGGAGTCTGGTGAAAACAAATTTATAAAATGTTGATTTTTTAACCAAAATACTTCTTCATCCAGAACCCATTTTACAATTTGCTTAAACAAATTTTGTTGATTTGATGGTATAGAAGAGGCAATTTCTTCATCAACAACACTTGATTTAAGAGCTTTTTTGTTTATCTGTAACTGCTGAATTGATTTAATACTAGAAGCCCAACGTGTAGCTACAGATGTTGATAGAGTTGAAGTAATCCCATACTGTTCGCGATACTTACTAAAAATATGAGCAGCGACATGACGGTTTTTGAACCATGGACGATAATTTTGATAACTAATTACAGAAATATCAGCGTGACCAACATAACGTTTATTAGTACAAAATTACAATATTGGACAGCAGATTTGTCTAAAAACGATGTTTAGTATAACCATGGAAGTTTTTTTTTTATTTTGACTGGATTTTGACCGGTCAAAATCTTTGTGGTCACACTGAAAAAAATATTGCTTTACCAATTAACAAAAACGGTTAGTTAGATAATAAAAGGTAGACACAAACAGAACATTGTAACTTTTACCAAAGTCGTTTGTTAACATAACTTCATAATTAGCTACACGTTCAAATGTATTACTGTTAAAAATTATTTTGTTGTATTAACTTAAAAGTGTATTATAATAACAGTTATTTATGAGAATTAACAATTTAAATATACTGGAGTAAGGTTTGGTATCATTTACAGGTCTTATTTGAATGTAACGAATATTTGTATGCTGTTCACACAAAATAATGTGTTGGTAATACAATAGTTCGGTAAATTTTAATAAACAATAATAATTACGTATTATATAATATATAATATCTATGTTACAACTAAGTTGATACAACTTACAAGACGGTTGGTTATAGGAAACGTTTTGTTTTGATATGATCACCGAATAATTGGTGTAGATAACAAATTATGTGTGGTATTGGGGTAATACCATCTATTTTTGTCGCCATCGGCAGTCGGCACTATTAATTATTATACCCTACTCGACTATTAGTGACTGTGTTTAGTGTGTTTTCAACAAGGAATATCCGTTTTTCTTTCACTACGCTTGTTCCAGACTTTATTTCAACTTTTATTTAGTGCTCTGTAAATTTTGTTTTTCAATTTACTTTCAAGTATGGCCAATGGTAATAGCAGAGATGACATAGCCGACTTTCTATCTGCTTGGGAACTATCCCAATATATTGATACGTTCCAAGGTAAGTTTAATAAAAATAAATAATTAATTCATAATTGAAAAAATGTATGGGCTGTTTGGATAATATAAGAACAATACCATGGCGTGAGATAGTTGTAAAGCCGTGGTCAATACTAATAAGTCTTATCTTACATAGGTAGTTAGGTCTATTATAACTTGTGTGTGTTAACAGGACGTTGCGCCCGCGTGTTATGTTTCCATCTTACAAACGTACAAAATAGCAAATTTCCGTACAGCAGAATCAATTTTATCATTCAAGTTTTTATATTTAGTACTTATTACAGTAAATTTACCTATGATCAAACTTAAAAGGTGAGAACATTATCTAGAGCTTCTCATAGGATTTTATTATCATTATAATTTTAACATAATTTTAAAGTTGTAATATTTTACATAGCTATAGCCCATAGGTATACTAGCCACTAGGTATAGGTACTCACTTTAAAATGAAAGTTCAATAAAATCCTATGAGATGTTTTAGATAATATTCTCACATTTAAGATTGATAATAGGTAAATTTGTTCTAATATTTAATCTAAAATAACATGGATTCTGCTGAACACAAATTTTTCAAGTTGTACATTAGTAAGACAACACATGTGAGTTTGACGTCCTGTTTAAATATTAAAATAATAATAATCAATTGCAATACTATGCAAATGAAAATATAATATAGGTATTTCATATTATATACAATATCTTTATCGCCTAATTACATTAGGATAGGTACTAAAATTAATGAATTTTTTTTTTTATTTCTTATGAACCTACTTAGGGCAGATTTTTTCTCAAAAATCAAATATTTTTTTGTTAAGAAAAGCTAAGTTTATTACAATTTAAGATTTTTTGTTTTGAATAGCCAATGACATTGACATGAAGACACTTCCCTGTCTAAACTACGAAATAATCAAAGAATTGATACCTATTGCTGGCCATAGAGCTAGGTTTATTTCAAATTTGGAACAGTGGAAATCTATTGTTATTCAAGGATTGCCCAATGTAAAATATAGTATAACTTAAATATATTTTGTTTTTAAATTTGAATGTTCATTATTTATATATCTATAATAATTAATAAGTATACATATTTTTTAAATTCATTCAAACTTAAAAATTTTAATTAAAAAACATTAGGTAGTTGACATTTTAATTTATGGTTTTACATTTTTAGGTTGGTGAATCTTGCAGTGATATTTTTATTGAACAAAGTAGTTCATCTGAGGTGAATATAAGTTCTATTTAGATATTAGGTATATTACTTATTAGTTATTAGTTAATACTATCATAGATTAAATATACTAGTACTAGTTTAATATACTAGTATATTATATTATACTACACAAATTTTATTACACAAATAAACATTTATATTTTAAATACAATTTATTGACTTGTTAACAAAACTTCAAAAAATTGCATTTTAGTATTTTTCAGTATTTACTATTTATAGTGATGTTTTTTTTCCAGTATATTGAATCATCTCATAACGAATCTTTATTAACAAGTCATAGTGATATTGCATCGATACCCAGCACTTCTGTTGTAAGCATAAATAAAACTATTTAATTTAGTTTATTTATACTCTATATTTTGTTGAATTATAAATATATTTTTTTATATTTTAGCAATCGATTGAAACCATTAAATTGTTTTACGAGGATCTCCAAAATGTGGCCGATAACACAAAGTCAACACAACCCCAAAATACACATTTAGCTTCACAACCAACAACAGTAAGTAATAGATATAATTATAATGTCCAAAATAGTTCTGGTTACATGTTGCTCCTTTTATATTGGCATTAAAATACTTATATACATGATTTTCTTTTGCAGGGGTTATTGGAATGGCTCAAAGGTACCAATGAGGGCAGGTCTTTATTAGCCTCCTACCAAGAAAGTGGTCTTTTGGACAGTATTGGTCGTAAACGCCTTTGCAATTTAATAATTAGTAACGAACTCAGTGTAGATGTAAATGTCAGGGTATCTTCAGTTAGATTACAAGAACTTGCTTATGAAATAACTACAATATTTAACAAAGAACGAACCCCCACTTACTTTATCCCGTATTTGTCATATGGACCTGGTTTAAAAAGAGCCGCAAAAGGCAAGCTTTTAGATTGCCTTAATAACCGTAGGAGGGAATTTAGAAAATCTGGTATTATAAAATCATTACGACGAAGTTCAACACCTACTGGCCGTGCTTCACCTGCACTTTTACTTCCAGAAGCACTTCAACGTATTGCAGAAAATCAGACAGACAATCCTGCATCTGTAGAAGAGAGCTTAAATTGGCTGCGCAACTGTAGTGACCCTTGGTCACTTGTTGAAGAAAATTGGGCTCTAACAGCAGGTACACGTTTGAAAGCACAAATTTCAAATGATGGTCAGTCTATTAGTGCATATATGTCAGAGTATCCTGCATTAAAAAAACCTACAGGATATTTTCTTGTGAGTGATATACGTTTATCATATAATGATGGATTATTTATAGTTATATTCTATTGTGTTTACAGTTTTTAAAAGATTTTGATGTGGCTTATCCTGGTTATTCCAACAAGCTTTACCAAAGTCTACCATTATACAAGAGAAAAATATTAGAACTGACTGGTAAAAAATTAAAAAAAACTAAGGAAAATACGGTCATACAAATATTAAAAGAATACATACAATTAGGAGCGGAAGGTTAGTTAATACCTATTAGTTAAAATAAAATGCCATACATTTTTATTGTGTTCATCTAACATATTTTATTCTAAATATTAAATATTAGCATTGTTTAAAAAATATTTGGAGCATAAATGTGTAGTAAAAATGTGTAAACTGTTTTATAAATACTAATTTAATTGAATGATCTTCAATCAAATTTTTAACATTAAATTAGTTATATTTTAGAATCTTGAATTGACAAAAACTTTTCATTATTTGCTTAATTATTTATTTTTATTGCTTCGAGTGACACTGCGAGATTGTAAATTATAATTTTTAATTACTTTTTTAGTATATTACAATATTTATTAATTACAAATAAAATGACTTATGTTTATAGATAATGAAGAAGTTTCTAACATTGCTGTCTTACTCAGTCTCCCCTTTCTGATCGGTGTTTCAATTTCTAGAACAAAGAAATCAAAAATACAGTGGAGAGCTTCTAAACAAGAAATGAGGGATGGGTTTATAACACATGTAAGAAGTAACACTGAGGTTCAAGCTACAATTACACATAGGAGAGACAAATTGGTAGGTTTAGGCCATACACTTCAACCATTCATCATAATTGTGGGTCCAACTTTAAAAGAAATTTCCAATTATTTAGTTGTTGTTGATAACATATTCTATCAATTGAATTCAATTGCTGCCTCAGTTGATTGTTGTTTTAAGATTATTATAACACTCAATGCACAGTACTCTGTTGAGTGTGAAACTGTTTGGTGTTTTATACAAAAAGGTTTTTATAATTTGCAAACACCATTTGATAAAAACTTTACAGCAGTCAACACATTTCTTTCAGATGTAGGGATTTAAGTTTTTAATTCACCGATTAATTTTTAAATAAGTAAAAAAAAAAATTCATAATTTTAGTTAAATATTAGGGAGTTGCCTAAAGAAGTATTTTTTTTTTTATATATTACATATCAGTTTTAGAATTAATTGCTTACGTAAAATTAAACTTTTATAATATATACCTATTGTAAAATTAGTATCTATTGTTTTATTTACAAATTATCAGTTTTTATAAATTTAATTAAATATTAGGAAGTTGCCTAACAAAGTATTTTATTTTTTTTTAATTACAAATCACTTTTAGAATTAATTGTTAACGTAAAATTAAACTTTTATAATACGTACCTATTGTAAAATGAGTATTGTTTTATTTGAAAATTATCAGTTTTTATAAATTTAATTACATATTAGGAAGTTGCCTAACAAAGTATTTTTTTTTATATATTACATATCAGTTTTAGAATTAATTGTTAACGTAAAATTAAACTTTTATAATATATACCTATTGTAAAATGAGTACCTATTGTTTTATTTGCATATTATCAGTTTTCATAATTTTAATTAAATATTAGAAAGTTGCCTAACAAAGTATTTTTTTTTTTTGTTTTATAAGATTTAATTATTTACATAAAATAAAACTTAATTCTATATATATTGAAAAATGCCGAAGTGTTTTTTATGTAAAAAAGAAGTTGATAGCATAAAGAGCCTTTTCAAACATTTTGATTTACAACATTTAAATCATGAATTCCATTTTTTTCAATGTAATGAAGAGGATTGCTCAAGATCATTCTATTTAAAAAATTCCTTTCGCAAACATTTGTCAAAACATACTAACCCAATACTACCTTCTATTTTCGAACAATACCATGAAACAAGTTTTAATTTAGATTCTACGCCTATCCTAAATCCAATATCAGATTATGTTTCTCTAGATGAAACTAATAGAAGACAGTTTATTGAGCCATCTAAAACTTTGAATCAAATATTATGTAAATTTTTTTCTTGCTTATATGCTAATCCTATCATGCCCCGGAACGCTGTACAAATTGTGGTAGATGGGATGGAAACCGTTTTTTCTGAAGGTATTGCTGTTTGTATTAAAACTTATGTTGAACAAATGATATGTGAAGGCCAATTACCTGCAGAGTGTCTCAATATTTTTACCAATTTTATTAAAGTAGTAGAAGGTGCCTTACTAAATTTCAAAACTGAACACAAACGTTTTCAATACTTTTCTGAACAAGGTTCTTATATTCCACCAAAAGAAAAAGTAATTGGTCAAAGATTAAATAATATGATGGTAAGAGGTTTGTCAGTTTTAAAACCTTCCAACTGCACGGAACAAGTAATACCACTAAGGCATGTTTTACAAACATTTTTTTCACTTGAAAATGTTCTTTCTGAAACTTTTGACTATATGACAACTTTAAAAAATAATAGTGGCGTAATAACTAATTTCATACAAGGTAGTTACTGGCAAACTCGAATTAAACATCATGAAGGACGATTAGTACTCCCTCTTTTTATGTTTTTTGATGACTATGAGAGTGGAAATGTTCTTGGGAGCCATTCTGGTATCCATAAGCTAGGTGCAGTTTATGTATCGATACCATGCTTGCCACCTAACCGTTCAACTACATTGTCAAATATTTTTTTAGCATTGCTGTTTCACTCTTCTGACCGAGTACAGTTTGGTAACAGAGTAATTTTCAATTCTATTATAGATGAATTCAATTTTTTGATGAAAACTGGTGTGTATATAGATAGCTTAAAATTCAAGGGAACAATTTATTTTGAGTTAGGACTTATTTTAGGTGATAATCTTGGCTTACATGCCATTACTGGTTTTGTTGAAAGTTTTTCTTCCAATTTCTGCTGTCGAATTTGTACTATGAATAAGGAAAATATTAAAACTCAATGTTATGAAGATAAATCACTCTTGAGGTCTACAGAACAATATTTTATTGATGTAGAAAGAAAAGACTTGTCTTCTACAGGGATAAAAGAAAAATGTGTATGGTTGGATATTAACGACTTTAATTTATTTGATCAAGTTGGTGTAGATGTTATGCATGATATGTTTGAAGGATGTTGTAAATATGTTATGAGTTTCATTTTAGTCTATTACATAAAAGAATTAAAATTATTTTCCTTGGAAGTATTGAATGATAGAATTTCTTGTTATGATTTCGGGCCAGAAAGCAATAAACCATGCACACTATCTATGGAACATATTAATGTTGGTAAAGTTAGGCAATCTGCTTCTGAAATGTTAATTTTAATAAGACACTTTGCCCTACTTATTGGGGATTTTGTACCTTTAGGTGAACCGATTTGGGACTTGTATTTGACTATGCGTAAAGTAATAGATATAATGTTGTCAACATCACTTGAGGAAAGTAATTGTACATTGCTAGAAACCTTAATAGGTGAAATGAATAATCTGTATTTAAAATACAGCAAAAGTAATCTTAAACCAAAATTCCATTTCCTTACACATTATCCATCTATGATAAGAAAACATGGTCCTGTTGTACATTTATGGTCGATGCGATTTGAAGCTAAACACAGGGTTTCAAAAATATCAGCAAGATCATCCTTCAATAGGCGCAATATTTGCTTAACTTTGGCTATAAAACATCAACTTCAGCTAAATAAATTATTTAATCATGGGAAATTATGTAGTACAGTTAATATAGGTCCTACTAAATTTATAAATCCTTCAAAACTTAGGCAAATACAAGTTGAATTGAATTTGAGAACTGAAAAACCATTAACTCGTATTAATTGGGCTGAAATTAAAGGAACACATTATAGGGTTAATAGTATTTTGACTGAAGACTTAAATGATGACAAACCAAATTTTGTGATGATAAAAAATATTTTTCTTTATGGTTCTCATGGGGTTATTTTTGAATGTTGCCTTTTAAGTACAGTGGATTTTTATGAACATGTATATGCTTATGAGGTTGAAATATTAGAATCAAATAGAAAATTTATTTTTCAAAATGCATTATTGTCGCCTATACCCAATACTTTAAATGTAGTCTCAGATGGAACTAAATATGTTACAGTTAGAGACCCTTTATAATAATTTTATTATTTTTTGTTTCTATTTTTTTTTATTGTTTTATTATTTTTTTTTTTTTTTTATTGCTTTAAACTTTAAATTATTATGTACTATAATATTTTAAATTATTGTATGAATATATGCCTAAATATCTAAGTGATGTATATAAATTGTTTATATAAAATAAAACCTTTTATATTATGAATAATATATTTAATGCCTTTTTTTATTTTGATATAGTTTAATATGTATTACACATATTGAGCATCATAGAAAAAATATAAAATAATTTGCTCTAACAACAATTTATTTTGTATGTGTAACCAGTAATTATAGTACGTTTTACATAATAGTATTGTAGCTTTTACTTAAAGAACCTTATACTCAACATTAATATTTGATATTAACAACAAAATGAAGTTCCTTGTAAAAACAATTATTGTTTTCTGTAACTAGAAAAACTCAATACTTGTAACATAAAGGTTAGTATTAGTAACAAAATAATTTTCTAGATACTTGAAATATTACAATATAATTATGTTGTATTAGTATAACAGTTTGCTGGACAAACAAAAACACTCTGTGTAATTAACTAAACATTTTGTTTACTAAGTCAAATGTATTCAGTTATTAATACAAGAATCATGTTGAGAATACCAAATCAAGTACGGTTCAATTAACAAAACTATTTTGTATATCCAACGACTTAAAATTAACAAAAGTCAATTAATTTTTGCAACTAAAAATACTGTTGTCACTGAGGCAACTAAATTTCACAGTTGTAACTGCAATATTTCTGTTTCTACAACCAGACTTTTTTTTCAGTGCAATTGACCACATTCTGACCGGTCAATTGACTGGTCAATTGACATTGTGCCATCCCTACTTCTTAATATAAAAATATTCCAACTATCAATTATTAGTAAAAATGTAAAATTGTGACAATAATTTCTAAGTACATACTATATAATATTCAATTTTCTGAAAATATAAAAATATAGGCATGTTTTTGCGCTATTAAAATATAATAATTATTGTAAAATGGCAACAACTGGGCACCGGCCCATCGGGCCTCTTTTAAAATCAGACAGGGGCAAATGCCCACCTTGCCCCCCCCCAAAAAAAAATGACGCCACTGATAATATGCTAGAACGATGAAAAATATACATTTGTGAAGAACGAAACAATAAGAAATTCATGATATGATTTGTTGAATCTCACAAAAACGGTTGTCATAAGACGGATAACGACGATGAGATTATGTGATAAGTGATAACGAATGCCGCACTTTTGCTGGTCGCAAACAACAGTAAGGGCCGATTTCACCAACACAGTTAATCACGGTTAAACCTCGATTACGCTTAATCGGCTGATAACAGATATTGAACCGGGAGAATTCGGCCGATTAAACTCCGGTTAACTTTAATCGCGATTAACTGTGATGGTGAATCGGCCCTTAGACATCACTGCCAGTGGCAAAATTCATGGCTACGCCACTGATCACTGCCGACCGATGCTGCAACAGCGGATAGCAACGTTACGTCGTTACCACATTGACACAAAATTATGATACTATACGCCTTTTTTGTTCTCAATCGTATTATACGAGTACAATAATGGAAAGGAATATCAGCCGGTCGCAGTTAATATTGAAAAAAGCCTAGTTGCAATACAGTAGTACATTCAAATTTATTTATTCAAATATTGAATGTCAAGGTTGAATTGAAATGAAATTGAAAAAATACGTCTCCTAAAACTATTATTTAATTTTAATAATATATTCTGATACATTAGAATTATTATTATGTCCATATACTTTAGGTTTTTTATATCTACTAGAAGAAAACATTTTTCTACCCCTAGCATCATACAAGTCTAGCATCAACAGACACACAGATATGAACAGCATACATTTATTATGAAATTTCTTGACAAGCATTTCATCGAA